TTTTTCACCATTCAACATATGCGGGGTGGGGTGGGGGGCTGGCATCTTCAAGGGGTCCCCAAAGACTCCCCCGCCGCTGGCAGATCCCCTCCCCCTCCCCCTCCCCCCCCAACCTCTACTCGGCTGCGGGGCCCGTCTGCGCCCGAGAGCGCACCTATGTCAACACAGCCGTACCTGCCCCAGCGGCGGGAGGGCTCCGGCCCAGCTGCAGAAGCCATTGGCCTGGCCGAGATCAAAAGCGGCCTGCGGGAGGCAACAGGAGCATCGGGCCAGGGACAAGAGACCAGGGACTCCTTTGGGCCATCGGGTGCGCCCTCCCGAGTTCCTTGTTCCAGAGGCGTTGGCTGCGTTTCTCTCCAGGGAGCTGATTCTCAGGTTGGCGAACTGATGACTATGTACGTATGTATTAAATTGGTATACCGCGGTTCATCCGTAGATCTCAGGGCGGTTCACAACATGGCATTCTGAAACAATCTGGTGACTTCAGCTCCTTCCACCACCAGCCAGCCAGCCCCATCTAAACAAGGCAGCAGCTAGAAATGAATTCAACAGATGCTCATTAAAGCAAGCAATTCGAGCATGGATCCTAGCTGAGGGTTTGGCGGCGGGGTGAGGTGGGGAAGCTTGTTGATTCTCACTGGAAGGATAAATGACCAAGTGGGGTCCGGGTTCAGATGATATACACTGCTGGGTTTCAAGCCACTAGAGTTCCCCCGAAACTGCGTGCAGTTGAGGGTGGAGGAGATGGAACGCTGTTCAGATTCACGATGCATTCTAGTTATTTTGTATGAGTCTATGCACGGTGAAAAAGAGCGTGGGATTGGCTCCATGCTCAGGATTCTGTTACTAGAACCACAAGTGTTCAGCAAACAGATGAAATGGATTTATTTTTTCAGCAAAGGGCCATGACCATCTTGTTGACATGACAAAGGGTGCTTTGGGGCGGGGGGTGTGCGTGGAATACTCCAAAAAAGGTCTTGATATATTGCAAAGGGGTCAATGACAACTTAAAAAAAATATGTATCAGATATCACCTACAAAGGGTAAATTGGATTATTATTATTATTATGGGGTGCAGTATGAACTGGCCATTTGACAGAGCCAGGCCAATATATTTTGGCACCTCTTGTGCCCCCCTCGCCACACCTGGCCTCATGGGGGGGGCTGCTGGCCCCGCATTTTGATGACAACGGCATAACATGGGCACTGAAAACAAGCAAACTAGCATGCATGCGGAACTCCAATTTTTATTTTTATAAATACCGTACTAGGTTAAGGTCTGGTTAACAACAATAACCATTTTTTGTAATGTACACAGGTTTTCTCCCCCTCTCCGTTCTGTTTTGTTTTCTACATGGGTTCTATCCCCCGCCCTTTCTTTTCCCCATCTTATCTTTGTGCACTTGTAATTTTTTTATCTTTAATTAAAGAATGTTTGTGTGTATAATAAAATAAATAATTTCAACCCCAACATTGATACCCATCTGAAAGCTCTCAAAATTCTAGTGGATCAAAACCATCAGAATCCAGCAGGGTAAACAATGCGCCCTACCTTATAGGGTTGTGTGAAGCGCTTTGAGCTCTCTGAAGCTCCATATTGGTTATGGCAGGCTTCCCCAACCTTGGCCCTCCATTGGTTTTGAGACTACAATTCCCATCATCCCTGACCACTGGTCCTGTTAGCTAGGGATCATGGGAGTTGTAGGCCAAAAAACATCTGGAGGGCCGAGGCTGAGGAAGCCTGGGTTATGGTATGGTGAGAGAGGGTGCATGAGGCCATCAGCTTGCTGAAACCCGGCAAGTCTGGGACTGGACAATGCCTGAATGGGAGACTGTTAGAGAACCATGTGTCCACTTGGGATAAATGGCAGGAAATATACAACAACAACAACAACAACAACAACAACAACAGACAACAGACAAAGCAATCTATTATTGGCTTGTTGCCTATAGACGCTATGCAGTAAGAGACACATTGCCTCTGCGACCACCCCATTATCTTCCCAATGCAAAGTTCTGCCAAACACATTCCTCCCCCGTAGTTTGTTAAGGGTGCTGGGAATTGTAGTTCCATGTGAGTTAAAGTATAGTCCCCAGGATTTTTTTGAGAAAACTGGGCGCTTTAACTGTCTGGTGTGGATGTGAGGCTAGGGGCAGGAGCGGGAAGATCTCCTAATCTCTGAGGTCCATCAGATGACTCAAGGATGTAGGAAGTCCAACCTGCAGGTAAAGTCGACCTTGTTTCAGTCAGCCCCAAGCCGAATAAATCTCTTTCCTTCGTTCTCCAGCTGCTCCTTTTGCAGACCACCTTCTCCCTGGCTGGTGGGTGGGCTTAGGGGAGCAAAAAGGGGGTGGGGGTGGAGAGACCTCTCACTAGAGCCAGATACAAAACCTGCTTATCTTTCTCCAGAGTTGTGCTTCCAACGGCCCCGTTTGCTTTGGCTTTAGAGTTAGGTAAAGATTATCATTATTAATATCAAATCCAAACAGTGTAATTGCAAACACACCCGGGGTCTCTTTGGCTGCAGCCACCGAGGTCGCGTTGGGCTGGGGAGGGGGCAGGCCCAGGGAGAGAGACTATTTTCTTTCTTTAATGAGAAACTTTCTTGGAAGTTCCGTTTACTCCAAACAATTTCTCACGTTACTGCGCTTTGCAGGGAGAAGACAAGGACGGAAGGCGAACCCAACACCGTTTGGTAAGGCTAAAATATCACAAGGAAGAGTTGGGACTAGGCGGGGACCCACAGACATTGGCGGGGGGGGGGGAGATAGTTTTCGTTCCTAGCTGCTGTTTCCTTCGGATGGTTTGGGGGCCCTGAAAGCTTTCCCGCCTTCGAGATCGGCAGAGTCGCGCCAGGGACAGTTTGGTCTCTCAAGGCAGAGGGACTCTTCCCTGCAGACTCTTTCAACTTAAAAGCACAGACAGCGTTTAAGTTTCTAGGCCTTAAGACACAAAGAGTCTGCTGGTAATAAAAGAGAAGCGTCGGTCAGCATCTAGGTTCGCGAAGGGCTGCTCTTCATACACACAGATTTGCTAAATCCAATTGCTCTAAGGATAAGAAACCAGGGTTTTCTCTATACAATGCAGTAGAACGCTTTTGGACTCAGTGGGACTTGGATGCAAAGTCGCTAAGAAGACTGTGACGTGAGCCTGCATTGAAGACAGTCGCAATATATATGAAATTGTGCAGATAACATTACAGTTTTGGAGTGTGTAAAAAGAACTATTCTCTGAAGACAATCGGCTTCCAGAGTTTGGATTGGAAGGCGACCTTCAAAATATCGGAGTAAAATTCTCGTCTTGTAACTAAGATGCCAGATTGGAGTCCTCTGCGCACTTACTCGGGAATAAATCCTACTGAAAAGAATAGGACAAAATGTTGAGGTCAGGCGAAATTATATAACACGTGGAACTGAATCGACACCGTGAATCTATCCCTCTTTACTCGGAAGTAAGTCCTAGGGCCTTACTTCCGCGTAAGCGGGCCCAGAACTGCCCTTCTACAAGGCGACACGATGCAAGATTGCTTGAAAAATCGTGATTATTCTATCATACTAACAGCTCAGGCCTGAGCTATTCTCTGTTGAGGATGGAGCGTGATAAAAAAAAAATCGGGCAGGCGCAATTTTGCCTGTGAATCACACACGCGCACAGAGTCCATGTTTACTCAGAAGAAAGTCGCACGGATTTCCATGTGACTTACTCCCAAGTAAGTGAACGCAGGATCAAGACTTTAGGATGATGCAAAGAATGATGTTCGGACAGCCACAGCCCGTTAAGATAGGAAGGCAAGGGAAAATCTCCAGATCAGCAGTCTCTGAATGAGAGGCTGAGAGATCTGCCACCCTTGAGATAATAATAATAATAATAATAATAATAATAATAATAATAATAATAATTACCCGCCCTTTACCTTACGGTCCAGGGCGACTTGCAGCATTAAACCACAATATTAAAAACAAGTTGCAATCATAAATATCATGAGAGTCCCAGAACATAATTAAAGTAGCAGCACCAAACCACAAAATACGCAGAACTGGGACAAACCCACAAAGCGCCTTGCAGAGCATTGGAAACGTTGCCTCTCGCTCTGCACGGTGAGGCTGGCGGGGACGCCGGAGGAGGTCAGGGAAGAGAGACGTGGGGGGAGGGTTGTGGATTCTTGGTGGTCGCCCCTTCCTGGGATGATAAACAACTCTGGTTACAACTAAGGGCTGTTCTCCCTGGGAGGAAGAGGCTCGCCTTGCCAGCCTCAGAAGCGGATTGTTTTCCTCCAGAGGTGCGCGCTTGGCCCCTTCCTCTCAGCCACTTAACCCCTTCATCACGTGAGACGCCCCTTCTCCACATCTCAAGGGACTGGACAGCCTCCTGTCGGAGCCTCTGGATCTCACGCCCATCCATTCTGCTTTAAACAAGGCTGGAGTACAACCCAGGCGCACAACCCGCAAATGGGGGGAGGGGGAATAGATCCTGGCAATATGCGGAGATCGGACGCAAAAGGAGGCGTGGTCTCTGGAAAGTCGGCAAAAGAACAAGAAAAGCGTGGATTCGCGGCAGTAGATGCTCTTTGAATGCATGAGGCCTAGCGACTTGAGAAGACATACAGAATGGGAGGTTGTTGGGTAAAAGCGACAAGCGAAGAAGGCAATCCACAAATAATGAAAGTGCTCTCTCTCGCTTTTTCTGTTCCTAAGCCATTTACTCTGCTGTTGTCCCATTCATTTTATGACTTCAGAGGAGGCACTCGTACTATTTCAGTAGAAAAATGGCCAGAGCTCGATCTTAAAATAATCCCACGCACGAGGAAATGCCATCCGTTTCAATAACCGGTAGTACGTTTCTGAAAAAGCGGTCCCGATTGTTCCTTTTGGGGGGTCGGGGTTAGAGAAAGAGAAGAACCCATATCATTTATCTCTCCCCCCCCCCCCAGCTTGGAGTCTTCAGTTGAATCACACAAACGCCAAAAGGCTAAAAATATTCAAGCATAGCTTCTTTTTTTACACAAAGAGATTTATTTTACAACCTTGGAAACTTTATCTAGCTTTTCTTATATACAGGATCACTTTCCACATTTTAAATAGATAATAATTTTTTTTGTCTTTCTTAAAAAAGGGAATAAGAGATAAAGAAAAGTACTAACATTATATACAAAAACAAAAACAAAACCCACGCAAACACAAACCCTAAATCTCAGGAACTTTAAAAAAAAGAGAGAGAGAAGAGAATAGAATAGAAGGCAACCAGGAACTTCCTTCAAACAGGAATGAACTGTGTTACCCAAAGAAAAGACCCTCAGTAAACCACAAGGCAATATATTAATTATAAAAGGAGAGGGTTGGGGTGGTCGAGGCAACGTTCGGTAAAATAAAAATACCTCTGAAAATTGGTTTTGCGGGGAGGGGGGGCGGGGTGGAAATGCAAGCGGGCCGGCGCACTTTTGTCGGAGGGCAAAACTTCCTTTTAAGAAGATGCGTTTATTATTTGTTCAGCTGTGTGTTCTTTTCCACAACGCCGCCCTCCACCCCATCTAGGATTTCCAGAAGATTAAATTAATTGTGATTTAGTCCAAAGGGCGAAGTGGAGAGGGAGGGAGAGAGACCGTCCCTTCCAGGGCTGCTGCATGTTTCCAAAAATACTACCAGGCCGGCTACTTCTCCACGACTTCCTCCCCGCTGGGTACTTTGCGGTCTTCCGACGAGATGCTATCCACGATAGAGGAGAGGCAACGGAGGCTGCTCGACGCGGACGAGTCGCCAAGGGGATTCCCTGGGTTTGGAAGGGGGAAAAGGCATTTTAGCGCACGCGGGATCGGGGCCCCATCCTCCTCACGAGCCACTTGTGTTTTTGAACCAAAAAGCGCCCACAGAATCCCACGGCAGGAGTCCCTCAAAGACCCACACACTGATCATGGAAGGGGCGGACAGGCGCGTCAGATCTGTTTTGTTGTAAAACGGTGGAATACCAAGATCTACCAACCCAAAGTCAGGTGCAAAAGGCAGGCAGTTTAGAATAAAATCGTGGTGGTGGAGATTCTGAATCCGGCCATTTATTGTCAGCACGGGGCTGACACTTCTGGTTACCACCTATATATATTCGTTTCCTCCGCCGAATTCAAGGAGTTGGGGTCTCATCGTTAAAAGAATTGGCAGCCGGAATCCCTTGCAGATCTATTCCAAATGACGGAGAGATCGACCACCCAGGGGACCCCTCCGTGTGTTATCACCTTTCCGGGACACACGCCACTTAGACAGATGCAGCAGACTGACAGGGTTAGGCCCGCCCCCCCCCCCCCCGCAACCGAGAGTTATTTAGAAACGTGAATCCCATTCATTTCCAGCAAGGATTTTGCTCACAAGCCCAAAACATCCAAAGTAAACTAGCACAACGTTTTCTAGTTGTGGGGGGATTTGCGCCTCTCAGAGGACGTGTTTTTAGGATCACAGGCTGAGGAGGACCCTATTGCGAAATGTGCCGCTGAAAGAATCGGGTCCGCTTTCAAGTCCGTGAGCTCAGGACGGAGTGAGGGGTGCGGTGTGCTGCGATCCTGCAGGCAACTCCCGAGGCAATTCACTCTCCTGAGCCATCCAACGGGAGCTCTCCAGAAAACAAACCCATTGGGGAGATTACCCAGGTTTGGCCTGATAAAGGAGCGGAACAGGTGCAACTCGCAGCTGGTGTTGAAAGGAAACGTGGGGATTCCTTCTGTGCGCTTCTCCTTAGGACAGAGCGCGCGCTTGCAAACTTAAGTACCCGCGCTGTAGAGAGGAGGTCCTGCTCAGCTCAGGATCGCACTGCGCCTGATTTATTAGGGCAGAAACTTTCAAAGGCGTCTGTGAGCCGCCCCCTCCCCTTCCATTCCAAACCAGGCACCATCTCTCGGGGAAAGAGTCCCTTGGGAAGCAGGGCTGCTCCAGAGGACCCGTCGGCGCCAGAAAAGTGGGACTTTGCGTGTGTGTGTGCGCGCGCGCAAATGTAAGTAGCCAAACCAGGCGAATCCTGCGAAGTGAAAGCATTTGGGCTGCGGGTGGGGGGAGAGAGGGCGTAGTGGGGGGCACAACAATCCCGAGTCTCCCAGCCAGATGAAACACCCCACCCCACACCCCCAGTCTCCTTGTCAGCGTGGAGCTTTACCTTCCTTGGCGCCCATGGGCAGCGCCCTGGAATGCTCCGAGCCTCTGGGCCAGTCGGCGCTGCAGGGGCTCAAGAAGTCGGGCGGGGGCACCTGAGGAAGGAAGGAAGGCGAGAAAGAGAGAGAGTTGGGGGCGGGAGTGGGGCAGGGGCAGGGGAAGAGGGAGGGGGCTGGCACGAAAGGGGAGTGCCGATCGGCGGCAGCAACAGCAGCAGCAGATCCGCCGCTGGCCCGGCTGCGCCCCCCTCTCCAATTCGGAGCGGGGCTAAGGGAGGCGACCGCGCCTTTTGCGCGCGGCAGTGGCGCTTACCTGGCCCTGCTTGGCGCTGCCGGCGAAGGCGTCTCCGACGGCGCCCCCGTTGGCGGGCAGCAGGAGCTGCTGGTGGCTCTTGTCCTGCTGGTCGAGGCGGTGCAGGAGGTCCTGGAGCCTCTCGATGTAGCTGATGGCGCTGCGCAGGATCTCCACCTTGGGCAGGCGCTGGTTGGGGTTGGCCACCGTGCGCCTCTTGAGCGCCTCGAAGGCCTCGTTGATCTTCTTCAGGCGCCTCCTCTCGCGCAGCGTGGCCGCCTTGCGCCGGTCGGTGGGCGCCGACTTCCGCTTGCACGTTTTGCAAGCCCACATGAGGCACTGGCCCGGGCAGTGGGGCGCCTGCAGGCCCGGCGGCGCCAGCACGTGCTGCTCCTCGTCGCCCCCGATGCTGCTGCTGCCGCTGCTGCTGTCGCCCCCGCCGCCCCCTCCGGCCTCCGGGGCCAGCTGGTCGGGGCACGAGCTGGGCGACAAGGGGCCCTCGCTGCCCGGGTACAGCGGCGACCCCTCGTCGGCCATGTCCAGGGCCTGCAGGCCTCCATGGTCGCCGGCGTCCAAGTAGAAGAAATAGGAGCCGGGCTCGAAAAGGTCCATCATCATGGCTCTCCCGCCGCCTCTGCGCGCCTCTCTCGGAGGGGCTCCCGACCGAGAAGCCCCCGCAGAGAAGCCGCCCGGCCCGGCGGAATTTAATTAGCGCGCTGACATCAGGGCCCCCGGCTGCTTTATATATAGAGTCGCCGCTGAAACCCTATCCCCGGTTTAGCTGTCGCGGCGCATCACCCGGCGAGCCCGGCCAACACGACGCTCCTTCTGGGTGCTGCTGCTGCTGGCCGGACAGAGCGACAGCCAGAGACCATCCTCGCCTAGTCGAGGAATAAGAGGCCTTGGGGAGAGATCCCCTTCTCCCCAAAGCCCGCTCCCAGCTTTCTGAACCCCAGACCCGTCCAGCACAGCCAGAGTGACAAAGTTGGACACATGGGAATCGTTTGCTGGCATGGGCGTGAGTTAAATGCAGCAGGTTGGTTTCAGGCCAAAGGGCTTCAAACGAAAATCCCCTCTCCCTTCCCAGCCTTGGGCTAAGTATAGAACTTTGGCTAGGCTCTAATGATTATACTTACAAATAGGCCAGGTAATAACTTTGTGGAGTTGTACTTTTTTTAAAAAAACAAACAACAGAATAATAATAATAATAATAATAATAATAATAATAATAATTTATTTGTACCCCACCCATCTGGGCAACAACATGTCGCTCCTAAGGCCTAAATGCCTTAGGACCAGCTCAAGGGCGCAAAACAAGGATGGGGATCTTTGGTCCTCTGGATGTTGCTGGAGCACATTTCCCATCAACCTTGACAGCTGGTTGTGCTAGCAGCAGGGGCTGGTGGAAGTTGGAGTCCACAAGTTTTCAATCCCTATGATAAAGTGAAAGCAGCCTGGGACCTGCTGCTGGTAGTGCTTGGGCTTCTTGAAGAGGAATTGGGAAACTTCTAGCATCCTCCAGGTGTTGTAGGACAACTCTTGCCACCATTGGCTGCACTGACTGGGACTGATAGGGGTTGGAGCCTGACAATGCCAGGAGGGTGACACAGGTTCCCGATCCCTGCTCCAAGGGGATGCTGCCAGGAAGAAGAGCCCCAGTCTCTAATGGTACTGGTGGTGATGTTGGAGTGTCTCTGGGCTCTGTTCCTGGAATCTCCCAAACCATGTTCTGTCTAGTGAGACTTCAGGTTAAATTGCTGGATTAAAGGCAAGACAGAAATAATTTAACCAATCACAAAACCAGGCTGGTTCTTGCCGCTGTGCACTGAGTGGGTCTGTACCATGTCCAGCCCACCTCAAATTGTTCAGCTTGAAATTCAGCCAATATTCAAAATGAAAGTCTTACAGATGTGAATGGCAAGCCCAGAACAAGCTATGGTGGAAATTTGTAGTTTGTCTGTTTTGGAACAGACCATGAGCTTTGGTTCAGATGTAACGCTAAACCAAACCATGGCTTGGCCTTGGGTAGTGCAGCAGCAGCAGAACCAGGAGTGGAGTGGAGTGGTCCCGGTTTCTAGCATGCTTGCACATTTATGCTTAGCCACAATTTAGTGTTATGCACAAACTGAACCACTGTGATGCTGCAGATACAAAGTGATGAACGGAGGTGAGCCAGACATTCCTCTGGGTGTGCATGAAAAAACAACTAATCTGTGGTGAGACAATTGGATAGCTAAGTCAAACCTACTTGGCAAGACAATTTTTATTATGTCACCACTTCTCTGGATATATGATCTGGATAGATGCTCTGCTTGTATCTATGGCCATAGGGTCTTTCAGTTAGTTTAGGGATTAAATTGCGGAGAAAGATACATTTTTATGAATGCCAAGAAGATGTCTTTCAATATGTCAGAGGTGACTAACCTGTGACCCTCCAACCCCAGCCTGCATGACCAATGGTTAGGTCAGCAACGTGAGAAAAGACACAGGTTAGCCACCCTTGCTATATGTGACTAGGAACACAGCACAACTGAGTTTAAGAGGCAGGCCTGTTTTTCTGCCAGTTTCCCCATTCCTGTGTTGCAATTTATTCCTTGGCCTTTTTTGTTTTTGTAAAAATCTGATACCAATTAAACTATTTTGATTTTTCCACTGGTATCAGAGTCAACGGGCCTTCGTTTTTAATGAGTAGATACTGGGGGATTAGACACCAGACCTCTCTAACTCTGACATGAGATTGGCTCATCCATAATGAAAAGGAGGGGAGGAAGAGTTAAACTTAGTATGTCTACTTTTCCTTTTCCTTTTTTTCCTAGGAGCACCATAGTTACCTTGCAAATGTCCTTGTCCATTTGCAATGACTGATATGCCATTGCCTCACCCGTTTCCATCTTCTTTAAGATTATTACTGTTTCAATTATCTTTTTTATTATTTTATAGTCTAAAATCGGAAACTTGACCAGAAGTGGTGCAAATTTCATATTTCAGATATGAAAAAAGTTCTAATCTGTCCTTTTCAGAAAGCTGCTTTGCAGCTGAAAAATGCAAAATAGTGTGGTCAATATTTCATTTTTTTGTAAAATCCCTAATTTTGAAACAATCGCATTGACTCTTGATTTTTCGATGTGAATCCACACATTTATCTCATTAAGTAACAAACTTTTTCTGTGATGGCTGATTTCCTACTTGTGCAAAACAGCTTCTGCTTGGAGAAGTGGGTGGGGCAACACAAAAATGTGACCACATCAGGGAAAATGCGTGAAAATTATGATTTTCTGTACATGACCACTTTTCAGTTTTTCCCATGGGGCTGTTTCACACATATGGATTCCCACATGAAAATGAAGCTATTGGGAGAACTTCACACTTCAGAAATAGTCTTGTTAATTGGCCTTGGGACTGAAATTCAAAATTCTTGTTAAAATGCAAAGAATGTGTTGCATGGAGTACAATTTTATGATGAAATTACGGGCAAAGAACGCCACCTTTAGCTGGGATCCAAAATGCAAAAGATACTGATAGATACAGATGCACAGACAATGGTTCGTACCCAAAAAAACCCAACTGTGGCAATTTATACAAGACAAATGAGATAAGTGCATCTCTGGTATTGATAATAACCTCACTTCTGTGCCCTCCCCACTCCATAGCATTCCCTTGCACCAACCCCTTTGAAGGGATCAAGGACTGCTGCTGTCCAGGTGCTAGGAGTATGTCCAGCTCCAAGTGATGGATTGAGGATACAGTTGTACCTCAGGTTACAGACGCTTCAGGTTGCAGACTCCGCTAACCCAGAAAGTTCTAACCTCAGGTTAAGAACTTTGCTTCAGGATGAGAACAGAAACCATGCGGTGGCGCTACAGCCACAGCGGGAAGCCCCATTAGCTAAAGTGGTACCTCAGGTTAAGAACAGTTTCAGGTTAAGAACGGACCTCCAGAACAAATTAAGTTCTTAACCTGAGGTGCCACTGTATACTGTAAGTTGACTTCCTGCTGTGCTGATGCTGGGACCCTAATGCTCCGTCTTTGAGATCCTAGGACTGCACCACCAACTCCCCAACCATTGTGGACCATAGGAAAGAGCTGTAAATTTTCAATAAGGGTGCTTGCTCTCATTCTGAAATTTCTTCATTCTGAAACAAATATATCTCCTCCTTAAATGTGAAGCCAGTTCACAGATGCATATACTGTACATTGCTTGATCTTTTAAAATGTCATTACTTCGGACTGCAACACTTGCAGATGAGTATGTAAGTAGACTGTACAGTATTTAAAGTGTTGTGGGAATGCACATGACTCACACTGCACATTTAATGAAGATTTATACAGGAGACAGTCATATACATCTCCGATCTTCTGTTTGAGGGGAAAGGATGCATGCGTTACATTTCATCTGCTATTTCACACATTCAGGATGTTATTTGATGGTGCAGTTCTTTATATATGGCACTTATCAGCACATATAAATGACAAGCTGTCACATTTATCAAGTGAAATAACTCTGGATTAGATATGTTTGGATCTAGGGCACCTCTGACTATGAATTTGTGGGATCTAGTTGAAGACGAATCATGCAGAATTGCCTTCCTTGGAGGTGTGTCTGGCACAATCATTATTATTAGGTGCTGGTTGGAAGCCTTGTCATTCAAGCCATTGGAGGAAGCAGTTAGGAGGACCACATTTTCCCTCTTCAGGCCGCAGCCCGACTTGGCCTGCAGCTGCAAGGTGGCAATGGGCAGGGATTTCGGCATATGCTCTACTGCTTGTTACAAGCTAGTTCAGAGACAGCAGCAAGAGGGCTAAGTAGTTCGTGTTTGGTGTGCAGAGTTTGCCTCCTGAGACTTTTTAAGCGCACTTGCTACAATCAAGCACTATTTACTGGTAACTTCTGGATAGCTCAGTGCATGGTGCTGATAGCACCAGGGTTACAGGTTTGATCCCCATTTGGGACAGCTAGGACAGCTACTTATTCCTGCATTTCAGGGGCTTGGACTAGATAATTCTCAGGGTCCCTTCCAAATCTATGATTCTATGATTATTAATAACATCACCATCCATCTTTCACACCATTTATGTATGAAAATAAATTTATTTAATCATACCCCACCATCAATATTTGACCTGTATTGAAATCAAAGGGCAAATATTTGTTTGATGTGTGTTTATCATTGGAATTTACATCCCATGCGCCTGATAGACCGTTAGGGTAGTTTATAATGCTAAATAATAAAAAATACACTCAAATGCATTTAAAAGCACCAAATGCAACTGATGGAAAGTGGCAGGATCTGAAATCTAAACAGCACCATGTAAGAACCTCACAGTGACAAAACAGTTTTTGTGCAAAGGTTAATGGGGTGGGGGCAGAGGCACCACAAAAAGGTGGCATCAGTGTAGATGTCAGGCAAGCATCTTTGGGGAGGGCATTCCACAACCAGTGTGATGATACGGACAAGACCCTCTCCCTCTTACCTGACACACACTAGATGGGGAGAGGATAGGAATAAGCAAAGGTTGAGACAGGCTTCAGATGCTGTGATCCCAAGCCATGAAGGTTTTTAAAGGTCAAAATCAGCACTTTAATTTGGACCCATTCCACTGTAAAGTACAGTGTAATACGATCATATCTAATCCTGATTTGTAATCTTGCAGCTGTATTTTGAACAAACTGCAGTTTCTAAGCATGTGGGAAAATTCATATTTCAAAGCAACTGAAAGAATAAGCAGGTACCTAGTTATGTTTTAATAATTTAAGCACACACAATCCTATTGAAACATACTATATATTAAACGTTAGCTCTTGTACACATATCTTTGAAATGTAGGCAATTATTTTTTCCAATTAATACTTGCTAATATTGCATAGCTCTAGAATAATAAAAATTTTGTGGACATATATGAATAAAGGTGAGACTCAATCAGAAAATCTATTTGGATGGCCGATTTTCTGTTTGATCTTTT